TGAGACCGTCGACCACAGAATATTTCAGATATTTGAGTTGTGAGACAGAAAGCTGATGGATGCCAACAGCTTAGCACAGTGCTGGGCACCGAGCAGTACCCAGGAAGTGGGAATCCTGAGCGTGACTTCTAGCCCAGGGGTGGGCAAACTTTTTGACTCGAGGGCCACAATGGGTACTTAAACTGGACCGGAGGGCCGGAACAAAAGCATGGATGGAGTGTTTGTGTGAACTAATATAAATTCAAAGTAAACATCATTACATAAAAGGGTACAGTCTTTTTTTTTTTTTTAGTTTTATTCATTTCAAACAGGCCGGATCCGGCCCGCGGGCCGTAGTTTGCCCACGGCTGGAAGATACTTTAACCTTCAAACAGAGAGCAGTGGCCTGGGAATGTTGAAGGAAGTGAAATGTTAAAGGTTCCCCCACTAAAGCTCACCCTGCCTGTGTGCTTGCTGTTTGGGGTCCTGCCCTGAGCCCAGCCAGTCAGCAGGGTCCCAGCTCCCGGCCTGAGGAAAGCTTTCCCCAGCTGTGGGGAGAGTGACTGACCTCCTGGCACAAGGCCCAGTGTGCCCGGCACCTCTGGGGGAGATGAGTCAGAAGGGCCACTTCCCTCGGGCCAGTCTTACAGCCGGCCTGGCGGGTGGTAGGCGGAGCCCTTCTGCCCCAACCCTGGGCCGAAGGCCCGGTTTCCTGTCCTCCCTCCCCTCCCAGCAGCCATGGTCAGAGTGGGAATAGTACTGAGGCCTCACCCGCTAGACACCGGGGCTTGGCCCCATCCTCCCATTTCCAAGGCTGGAAAACCACCAATAGGAGCTCAAGTACAGGCAGCTGCTGCCAGAGGGGTCGGGAGGAGGGCCATCTGTCCCTGGATCTCAGAGTCTCCGGTCTCGGAGCCACCTGCATAAGGCCCAGCTGGCCCCTGGGGAGAAGGGAGGCTCACCTGGCCCTTGGGGCTCTGGCACAGGATGGAGGGGCTACGGGAATGGATACTCAGAGATGATCAGGGTCCTGGCTCCCATCAAGTGGGCCCTTACCGCAGGTACAACTGCCATCTTTCACAGGTGAGGAGCAGTGAGGGGGCTGGTCCAAGCATGCGCAGCTCATCTGTGGTGCAGCCAGGATTCAAGCTCAGCTCCGAGCCCTGGCCTTGGCCTTGACCCTAACCACAAAGGTAAGCCTCCAGACCCCACCCAAGAGCAAGAGTATCACCCAGCACCTGGAGACCAGGAGGGAGGGGCAAGGAGTGCAGGGCTGAGGTCCCACCTTCACCTCGGCTTTTACCCGAGCCCAGACATGGGCTCATCCAACCAACACCCATTGACCAACCATCTCTGAGAATCAGGTCCCTGGTTGTCAGCCGGAGAGATGGGAGGCTGCCCATGGCCTTGCCTGCCTGGTTCCCTGGCACACCAAACAAGTCTGTGCCCTCTTGCCACTTCCCAGGGGGTCTTGTCTGCCGAGCTGAATAGAAAAAAGGAAGATTATCACAGATTAGAAGGGACCTGCCTGGCATGGCACCTGATAGGCAGCAGCCAGCATAGCCCCGCCCCGCAGCCTGGGGCTCCAGGGCTGGCTAGGAGCGTCCAGGGAGGAGTGGGTGCTTTTGTGGCCCAGGAGCCCAGGAGTGCTGAAATCCTGTGCCGCCAGAGAACGCCACGCACGTCTTTATTACCACCTGTTGTGAATGGTCTGGACTGGGGCTCAGGATTGGGCTCAAGGCTCAGAGAAGGCCCTCCTGCTCCTTAAGCTCAGAACTTCCCCCAGCCCTCAGCTGGTCACACGGATGCCAGCACGGTTCAACCTGTCACTCCTCTGTCGCCTGGACAAGCCTTAGGGAGAGCCACCCATTGGTAACATGACAACCGCTGAGTATCCCTGCCCCTACATCAACAGGGACCTGCATAAGCAGACATAATGGCAGCTGCTCACCAGGGACCCATTCCACAGGTGTGGGACCAAGGCTCACAGAGGCTAAGGGACTTGCTCCCACCGCTGGGAGGTGGCAGGGTGGGAACTGCTTTCAGACTATGGACGCTGTGTGCAATGCCGCGAGGCCCTCACCCTCCAAGGTTCTCCCTACAGGTTTCCCTTCCTTCCCCTGTGACTTCCTAATACCCTTGATCTGAACCACCCCAAGCAGCTCCCCTGATCCTGTACATACCCCGTAAGTGCTTATGAGAAACTCAGCAGTGTGTGGAACCCACACCTCGGGTCCTGGGCAGCCTGACTCCCTCTGAGCCCCAGTCGCCCACCTCCAAGGGCAGGTGAGGGGCTTAAATGAGACCCCCCTCACCCATAACGCTCTTAGCATCCTTCCTGGGACATGGCAAGTACTCAGTTCATGAGACCTTTGAATGTTGGCATCATACTTGTCTGTCGTCTCCTCTGCCTGCAGTATCCATAAGGGAGAGCACCAGGCCCTCCCTCCACCAACCATCACCCCTTGTGCCCAGCTTGGGAGCCCAGACTACTGCCCCCAGCAGGGACCCAGAGTAGAGAAGGGCTGTGCCCTATTCCCCATCCCCAAGGAGGGACAAGTAAGCATCCCGACAATTCCCAGACCACAGCCTCCCAGCTCCAATCAAGGAGCAAACACAGAGGGAATCTCTAAACACTGAGAAAACGCGGGAACTCTGCCCCACGTGGCACCGTGGGGATTTAGAAAGAACAAATCATGCCTGACAAACTTGATAGCTTTTTTGATAGAATTACAAGGCTGGTAGATGAAGGAAATGCAGGCAGGGTAATATATCTTGATTTTTAGCAAAGCATTTGATACAGCGCCCCGAGTAATCTTACAAAATTAATTCAAAACAGACTTGGCCCTAAGCACTTGTCATGTGGCCAAAAGCAGGAGGGGGCAGGTCCCAAGGGTCTCAAGTGGAAGAGGCAAGTACAGGGTGAAGGACTGAGGGACAGAGTCTGGAAGTGGGGGCAGGGCTGCCAAGACCCAGCCTGGGTCAGATCTTATCTAACATCTTCATTAATGATCCTGAGAGAGGGAGTAAACAGTCCGTTAATGAAATTTGCAGAGGATATTAAATTGGAAGGTGTTGTGAACACCAATGAGGACAGCAGAACAGTCCAGAGAGACCTGGGGGGGGGACAGGGGGGGTGGGAAACTTGGCAGGAAACAGAGTCTGGGGGGAGGGAAGCAGGGTGCTGGCCAGCATCTGGGGCTACCTGGAGAGCCAGGGAAGGGGGAAGGGCATCCCAGGGCTGTGTGGAGCCAGGAGCGGCCACGGCTAGCTTGAGTTCTAGCCAAGCAGGCAACCTCAAGAATCTCAGTTTTCCCATCTGTAAAATAGGGCTGGTGGATAGGAAAGATGCCCTGCAGCTCTAAGAGCTGGCAGTGATGGGAGCCTGGAGCTGAAGCCCACTTTATGGGAGGAGAGGAGCAGTGACACAAAGAGCAGGGCTTGTCTGCAGGCCAGGGAGGGGCGGGCAGCATGGAGAGGGCTGCTGAGGGCTGCTGAGGGCTGGCTGAGCCATCACTAGGACCCAGAATGTCCCAGAGCCACTGCCCCAGGTCAGCAGCAGCAGTGGGCAGGCCCCTCTCCCAGCCTGCTGGTGGGACAGGCTGGAGCCCTGAGCCTGTCCAGACCTGTATGGTATGCTGGGAACACTTACGCGATAGAGGTTTAACCTGAGCAGGAGAAGTGGGGAGTGGGGGAGAAGGTCAGGGTTTGTTACTTTTCTTAGATTTCCTGATCCCTCTTGGGCAGATCCCTCTCCAGGATCAAGGAAAGTGGCCCCATCCCTTCTCTGTCCTCAGAGCTGGGACTCTCCTTCCCTCTCCCTCTGACCCGATACCCAGCGAGCTAAGGCAAGAAGCTGCCCATTCATCTGGACTTGGATTTGTTCCCATAAAGCTCCTAGACAGGTGGGGTCTCAACGGGAGCCAGGGCTCCCTAGCATGGTGCCAGGCCCCCAGCAACCTAAATAAATGCTCGGTGGGAGGAAGAAATAGACGGCTGGTTCCCAGCTGGGGGTGCACCAGGGTTGCTGAGGGCAGCTCTTCCAAAGCAGGAGGCCAGGCCTGCCAGATGTCAAGACCACCTCCCAGGACACAGAGGATGGCTCCAGATGAATGTGCTGGGGGAGTGTCTTCCAACCCCCTGAAATGGTAAAAATGACACTTATTGAACACTTACTATGGCTCCATTCAGAGTGTGTTCCCCATATTAACATGTTTGACCTTCACAGCAGCCCTGAGGTAGGTGCTCTTTTCTCCCTTTCACAGAGGGGGAAACTGAGGCATAGAGTAGCAGCCAGGAGCCTTAGTACCTAGACAGAAGGCCCATGGGGAGAAGCAGCAGCCTGCCAAGAGCCACAGGGGAGATGAGCAGCTCCTGATGGGAGACCCCAATGGGTGGGATAAGCAGCCCCTTCTATGGGGCCCCCAGAGCCTTGCCCAGCCTCTCCCTGGTCCCCTTGAAGGGAGTTGATGCAACTCCTGCCACACTTGTGGAGCCTGATTTTACTATATGTTTCTCTCTTCCCCACCACCACCACCACCACCACCGCACTACACCGAGTCCTCTGAACAAGTCTGTTTCCATGGAAACCATACAGTGACTCAGGGCTTCGGGACCTTCTCTGAACCAGATTATGAATATCAAATGCTCACTCCCCGCACCAATGCAGAGTGAGTTGGAAAAGTAGAGAGACACAGTGGGCAAGGGAGGAAGACAGGGAAGTAGGCAAGGAGAAGGGGGGGGGGGGCTGTTAAGCCTGGCCCCCCCAGTGAGAGCCTAACATCTGGGTCTCCTGCAGACTCAGTGGGGCACAGATGTACACCTCCTCCATGTGTGCACAGCTGGCACACACACCCCAACATCGGCGCCATCCCCACCAGCCTTCCCATGGAACTAGGGCCCTATGGGAGGGAGCGCAGGAGGTAAGGGGGCTCTACATTTCTCCTAATGAGGACCTCAAATGGCAGAGGGGGCAGGGGGCAGGGGGCTGGGGAGAAGGGAAGCTGTCTACAAGAGGAGCCTGACTTCAGATGCCAAGGAGGAAACCTCTGGCCAAAAGCTTTGCAATATTCGGCAAAGAAGGAAATCTGGAATTTAGGGAGGGAAATGTTTCTTTCTGCATGGAGATGAGGAGGCTGGGTGTTAGCTTATGTGCTGGGAGCAGGCGCTGGCCATGATTTCAAAGCTTCCCCTCCCCACCCCCCACAGGGTTAGTGGGATCATTAGCAGAGACTGCCTCTCACTTGCCCTCCACCCTGGCCTGACCAACCGCCATTCACTTGCCCTGATTGGGACAATAGCAGAGAAATGAAAGTTTGCAGCGCCAGGCTCCTGGCCTTCCACAGGGACTAAGGCCCCCAAATCTGCCCCCTCCTTTCCCGGCAGCTCCCTGAAGACCCAGGAGGGAAGGGAAGAAAAGAGGTTGAGGCTTGATACCTCCCTGGTGAATCCGATGTGTGAGTCATGACGGTGAGTGCGAGCGCTTAGAAAAGAAACAGGGTCATGGTGATGCCTGCGAACGTCCCCGGCTGCTGACTGGAGTCTGGGAACCGCCTGCCCAGGTAAGCTCTCCGCCTGAGACACCTGGCCCTACTGGAGGGGTTGAGGAACCCCTGGGGGCAGGTACCTGGTACTCAGTCCCCACCTGCTTGCCTCCTCTACCTCCTGGTGCCTTTGGCTTGCCAAAGCAGCCACCTTCCCAGCCAGGGTACCCACCTCCTGGCCACAGTCCTGGGTCCCCTGCCCCCCACCCTTACCAGCCCTGGGAAGGATGCTGGGCTCAATGTTTGTCCTTGGCTGGACACCCACCTTCCCATCTCCTGCCTCCACCTCTCTGGACTCCCCAGTCGCCCTTCTTAGGAGCCTCCCGCTTAGGAGCAGCGTTTAAGTCCACGGAAGAAAACCTGCACCGGCGACGAGGAATCAGTCCTGGGAAAGGGCAGGTCCGGGATGGGGGAGGGTCATCCTTGGCATCCAAGATGCCACCCCAGGAGGACCCTCGGGTCTGACCATGGGCTTCCCAGCCAGGGCCGATCTGGGCTGTTACTGTGCAAGCCGGCATTGGGTTCCTAGGGCCTGGAAGGGGTGCCCCAGAGTCCTGCCGGAGAAGAGTAGGAGGCTGGTTCTGGCTTCCCCCGGGGGGCTCTGCACCATCCCCGTGCGGAGCCGGGACTGGGAGCCGCTATCGGGAGGGGCAGCCCCCTGACTCTGAGTGCAGCCCCGGTTCGGAAAGTTGGTGCAGGTGTGGGGACCTCAGGGTCTCGGGGAGACTCAGCAGCTCGGAGCCGGGAGGCTGCGGGACAGTGAGCCCCCGAGTTCTCCTCAAGTTTGCTGCCCTCCCGGGTGGGGGCGGGTGGGCTAGGGTGGTGGCGGGGCTCACTCGCCGCTAGCCGGAGAGCCGTCCTGCGCCCAGCACGCTGCTGTCCCCCGGCCCGCACCGCCCGCATCGACGGTCCCCGAGCCGAGGGGCGGCTCCCGCTACTCCCGCGCCCCTCCCGGCTGCTGCAGCGAGTGTCGGCGCCCGCCCGCCCCGGGAGCCGCCGGGCCGGCCGATACCTGGTCGGGGGCGCACCGGGAGCCGCCGCAGCGCCCAGCGCAGGCTCCATCCTCGGGTGTGGAGTCAGGCTCGCCCCGGGTCGGCGGGCGGCGGCGGCGGCGGCGGCGGCATCCTGCGCCTCCCGCGCACTCCTCCGCGGCCTCCCTCCTCCTGCACCTCTTCCGCGCGCCCCTCACGGGCCCCTCTTCATGGCCCGAGGGCGCGAGCCCGGGAGCCCGGGCGGCTCAGCTGGCGGAGTGCTTTCTCCGGGGCAAGGCGCGGGACCGGGGACCCGAACGCAGGGGCGCCGGGCCGGCGGCCGGGACCCAGAGCGCCGCAGCCCCGGGCACCGGAGAACAGCGGCCGCGGGCGCCGGAGCCTCGCCGAGCGCCTGCCGCCCGCCTGGAGTCCCGAGTCCCGAGCCCAGAGCAGCGGCGGCGGCGGCAGCGGCGGCGGCTACAGCGCCGATCCGAGCAGCGGGCGCTGCGGTCCCGGCTCCACCCCCCCAAAGCCGCCCGCCCCTCGGTGGCAGCCCGCCCCCTGCTCTTCCCCACCCGCCAGCGCGCGCCCTCCGCTCCCCGCGCGGTCCTGCCTGCTCCCGCCTCCTAACCCCCGCTCTGCCCCAGCCACCAGCGCTGCGGACACTGCACGAACCCCCCCTCCCCGCCCGCCGCCCCCCCTCCCCCCCTCCCCCCCCTCCCCCCCTCCCCCCCCTCCCTCCCCCTCCCCCGGCAGGCCAGCTCCGGGGCCAGCCCCCAGCCACCCCGCGCGAGGGGAGCCACACCCACACCCCAGGTTTTGGAAGGCCGGCGAGCGAGGACGCAGGCTGCGCACTAGCACCTCTTCCCCTGCCCTCCCACCCACCCCGCACCCAGGGCGCTCTCGGAACGCCTTCGCCTGAGTGCCCCCCACCCCCAGTCCGGCTGGAGCCCCAGCTGAGGAACTCCAGAAACCAGAACAAGAGCCCACCACCCTTCAGCGCCAATATCTCAACACACACCCCAGCCCATCCCCCTCCCTTTCACTTCTCAGGTATGGGAAGGACTGGCTCCAGTTGGGCCTCTTGGGCAGGGTCAAGAGGCGGGGGCGGGGAGGCGGTTTAGCGGTGTTGGAGAGTGGATTTGCTGGCAGACAGCCTTCCAGGCCAGTCCTGCACCCCGTTGCCCACCCACTTCCTAAGGACCACCGCTGGCCCCTAGCTGGGAATCAGGAGCCACTATGTCCTTATGAAGGGAGACCTGGCGGCATAGCCCACAGGCTGAGCACCTAAGTCCATTATTCTTTGCATAAATAAATATTGACTGAGCATCTCCCACAAGCCAGGCCTGCATGGGCACCAGGGACTCGTTGGTGACAAGACAACCGGATCCCTGGCCTCCCAGAGTGCGGTGGAGGAGAAGCACTGGTGAAGGGGCAGAGACACCATGTGACCACTGGGCCCTGGCTGAGAGGCCACGGGAAGTCAGTCCCAGCTCTGCCATCACCCATGGCTGCAGGGCGGCCACCTCAGAGACAGGCGGTTGCTAATCTGGGAGATGGAGTAGTCCTCACCTCTCAGGGCTACTGTAAAATGCCAGGTGGGAAAATACAGGTAAAGCGCTCCGCACAGTGTCTGTCACATGATGAGTGCTAAATACTCATTGTGTGGTCTTGTTACTGCCGTTGGCGGGTTGGTGTTCAGGGTAGCCAGGAACCAGCATTCACTCACTCACCCGGAGCAGACCATGGCCTCTCTGTTCCTCTGGATGACTCAGTACTGGGACCATCAGGTCTCTCCAGACACCCAGAATCACATGGTATGAAGGTCCCTGCCTCCCGGGGCCCACCAGACCAGATGGTCATTTATCTTGGTGACAATTGCAAATTTGTAATTATAAACCACCACCATCACCACCCGCCCGGCAAAGGATCCCCATCAAGCCAGAGTGTGAACCAGTGCTCTCCTGCAGTGGCAGCAGGAGCCTGGCCCCAGCCCCGCCCACCCTCTGCCCACCACAGCCAGGGTGGTAGTGCCAGTCCTCAATCCTGACTTCAAGGTGACAGATGTGTCCCCGCCTGTCCCCTGAGGAGTGCTCTGAGGTGCCTAACAAGAGTGCTGACCCTCCAGAAGCAAGGACTTCGTGTTTCAAAGTCCCATTTGTCCCTCCATAGAAAACCAGCGTCTAACGGCCCAGAGCTGAGCCATCAGAACCTTCCCTTTCACCCAGAGCTAATTCCTCCAGGTCTTCAGCCTGACAAGAATAGCCGGGGTTTAGAGAGCACTTTCTCTATCTCGCACTCTCAGATCCAACACCTCATTTTTCAACCTCTGGTGTATTTTGGGTGGGGAGGAAGAAATGTACATCTGGCTGACATGAAAAGATTGGTGTGGTTGTAATGTAAAGACAGAGTGGAATTTAGAAAAAAATTTTAAAAACATTTAAACTCTAAAAATAGACAAAAAGCTTCGTCTTGGGAACACGGGGATTCTGTTTCCAGTTTCCTGGAATCTCCCAGTTGACTAGCATTAATGTTTTGTGAGCACCTACTGTGTACACTCCACTGTGGCAAGTGTTAAAGGGGAAAGAGAGGAGGAAAATGCAGAAGCAGAGGCCTTTGTTCAGGGAATTTTTATCCCACACAATGAAGCTGCAAAGAACAGTTGCTGAAAACATGATTGAGTCTAAAATATGCAGCCTTCAAAGTCAGAGGAAGATAGAGCCTTGGAGAGTCATCCAGGGAAGGCTTCCTGGAGGAGGCAGTTAAACTGAGGCTTGAGGGATGGATAAGGTGTAAAAAGGCAAAAGAGCAGGAGAGCCTGTGAGAGAGAGGAAACAGCAGCCAATGGAGCTTACTTGTGGGATAATAGGAAGATTAATATTAATGGCTAATGTTTGAGATCTTATCCTGTGCCAGGTACTGTGCTATTTGTTTTATATGAATTATTTTAATATCTCTTAAAACAACCCCATGAAGTAGGTATTACCATTCCCATTTAACAGACCAGGAAACTGAGAGCCAAAGAGATTAGGCAACTTACCCAGGTTTGCAGAGCTGGTGAGCAGTGGAGCCAGGAATTTTTCTTGTTGTTGTTAATCCTCACCCGAGGATATTTTTTCCATTGATTTTTAGAGAGAGGGTGGAAGGGAGAGAGAGGGACAGAGGAAGGGAGGGAGGGAGGGAGGGAGGAACACTGACATGAGAGAGATGCATCCGTTGGTTGCCTCCTACACACACCCCAACCAGGGCCAGGGATCAAACCTGCAACCCAGGTACGTGCCCTTAATGGGGAATCAAAGCCACAACACTTTGGTGCAAGGGCCGACACTCTAACCACTGAGCACACTGGCCAGGGCTGGAGCCAAGATTTGAGTGAACAGTCTGGCTCCACACGATAACCACTCCTCTAGGCCATGTGTGGTAGGTAACCTGACTCCAGTCGGGTGCCTGCAGGGAGGAACAGGAGGTGGAGTGGGCTAGGGAAGACAATGGCAGGGGGTAGGGCCTTCAGAAGGCCCCAAACAGAGGATTTTCCTGAAATAAAGCCCCTAAGCCCTCCTGGGAAATCTAAAATGAGGCATTCCCTCTTCTCCCCTCAGCAGGCAGATCCCTAGGGTATTTGGAAATTGGTTAAGGGATTTGGGGGCTCAAGATTTTGGCTTTTTAATATCCCTTGCCTATCCATGCAGTGGTCGTCTGTGCCACCCACCTTGTTACTTCAGTCTGTTCCGGGAGATTGATGGTCCAGGCTTTGATTTAAGTTCTGCGTCTGGGATCCTCAATTTCCCCTGTCTCACGGGGGACAATGACAAGGCAGCCATCACACAGAGGATGGCTCCTTCTTCCTGAACTTCAGGCCTGAGAACTCGCAGCACCTGTAGAGAAGGTTCCAATCAGGAAGGCCTGGGCAGAGGCAGCCAGGCCCAAGGACCTGTCTTCTGGAGCCTCAGTTTCCTCATAGACGATGTGAAAGGGGTGCCGCCGAGGAGCTGAACCAACTCCCTCCTTTCATAGATGAGGAAATCAAGCCCAAAGAGGTTAAGTGACTTACCCAAGGCCAACAGGAAATGAATTAAGCCTTCTGCTGGGTCTCCAGCTATTTGAGACAAAGGACTCTTATCTTTCAATTCTGCCATGTTCTAGATGAATTCTTGTCCTGGGTGAATCGAGGACCTGAACTCCTCTGTGGCTGAGATAAAACAAATACTTGAGGACCTTACCTTGGGCCAAATACGAAACTGTTTCCTCAGGTATGTATGATCACATTTCCTCCTCATAAGATCCCCATGGGTCACTGGGCCTAGGAGTCGCCAGGCCTAGCCAGTTTTTGATTCAAAAGACAATATCATTTTGGCCCAAACCCTGAAATCCTGTCCTTGTTCTTTCCTACCGTCAGTTTCTCAGCCAAAGCCCCTTGAAATGTCACTTCACTGCCCCACTGACAAGGGTTTCCGCGAATCTACCCAAGGAACGTGGCGTTGCTCCCAGACCAGCCTATCCGCTGCAGTCCCACTGGCCATCTGTCATGCTTACCTCTTCCTGTCCTAGAACTTGCCAAAGGCCACAAGGCTACTTGAGGGAATCCCCCACCCCCCACCATGCTTCCTTGATGATGGTCCTTGTGGAGAAGCTAGCACCCAGGCCACAGGGGTGACTCCTGATGCTCCCATAGCCCCAGTCCTTGGGCTGCCAGAGGCTGGGAAAGCAGCATCTTCCCCAACACAGGGGCCCTATAGCCAAGGACCCGAGGCTTAAGTGCTTGTGCCACAGGCTCCCAAGGCCTCTCTACAAAGAGCTTGTCTTTGCTGGTGGCTCCAACAGCTAACCCCTCGCCTCAAATGTAAGCCAAAGGGCCAGGGAGGAGGAGGTACCATTCCCATCTTCCTCCTTGGACTTCTTGGAACCACCCCCAATAGACAGTCCCTCTCATGCTCCAATCCTATCCTATATAATAAAAGGCTAATATGCAAAGCAACTGAACAGCGGAATGACCAGTCACTATGATGCGCACTGACCACCAGGGGGCAGACGCTGAACATAGGAGCTGCCCCCTGGTGGTCAGTGCGCTCCCACAGGGGAGCACCGCTCAGCCAGAAGCCGGGCTCACAGCTGGCGGTGGCAGGAGCCTCTCCCGCCTCCATGGCAGCACAGGGAGCGGGCCTAAGTCATCAATCGGACATCTCCCAAGGGCTCCCAGGCTGTGAGAGGGCACAGGAGGGGCTGAGGATCCCATTCCCCTGGCCCCCCAAGTGCATGAATTTCGTGCACCGGGCCTCTAGTTACAGAATAAAATGCCCCAAGTGAATTAGAGGTTATGCCAACTAATCCTGGTGGATGGGAGGAAACGGAATCTGATTTCTTTCTGGTAAGTACCTAATTCACAGCACAGTTGCTGCCCAGACCCTCCTGGGCACCCCAGGGCTCTGGACTTTCAGGCCTCACAGGTGGGAGATAGGAGTGGTCTGTGTTGGTCCTCAGCCCGTTGACGCTGTCCCCATCCCATCCTCCAGGCTCCATCTTCTTTCCTCTGGCCTCGCATGATCCAGGCCAGATCTTACCAAAGCGAGTCTCATTCAAGCTCCAAAGTTTCTGGGAGGAGGAAGAAGAGGTCAGAGAGGCCAGGCGTCCACTTCCTTTTGAGGAGGAGCCTGCTCCAGCTGCCCTCCAGGGAAGATGTCCAGCAGAGAAGTTGACCTTCCCTAAGCCACTCTGCTGGCATTGCCACACTTGCCCCCTGGCGGCCCAGGCTAGGGGAAATCCCATGATGCTCCAGGGCCCCACGCTTCCCGGTGCTTCCCAGAGCCTGCCTGCTGGGAAGTGGAGAGGTGGCCACGGGCGGCCTTTGTTCATCTGGAGGAGACTTCCGTCTCAGGCTCTTCACCCAGGCCAGACCCTGAGACAGCCGGCCACAGAGCCACAAGGCGACGGACAGACTGACCAAAGGCAAACAAGGCCTAAGATGGCCACAGACCCTCTTCTCCCCTCAGCAGGCAGATCCCTAGGATATTTGGAAATTGGTTAAGGGATTTGGGGGCTCAAGATTTTGGCTTTTTAATATCTCTTGCCTGTCCATGGAGTGGTCATCTGTGCCACCCACCTTGTTACTTCAGTCTGTTCCGGGAGATTGATGGTCCAGGCTTTGATTTACGATCTGTGTCTGGGATCCTCAATTTCCCCTGTCTCGTGGGGGACAATGACAAGTTTTAATTCATTACTTTATTTTTAAGAAAAGTGCTGCTGAAAGTTATCATATACTTCGGGAAGCTTATGGTGAACATGCTCCATCTCAAGATACTTGTGAACGCTGGTTTAAAGGCTTTAAAAGTGATGATTTCTATGTGAAAGACAAAGAACGTCCAGGTCAACCGAAAACGTGTGAAGACCAACAATTACAAGCATTATTGGATGAAGATGCGTGTCAAACTCAAAAACAACTTGCAGAATGATTAAACATTGCTCAGCAAACAATTTCCAATCCTTTACAGGCAATGGGAAAGATTTTAAAGGAAGGAAAATGGGTGCCACATCAACTGAACGAAAGACAAATGGAAAACCGAAAAGTCATCAGTAAAATGTTGCTTCAATGGCATGAAAGAACTTTTTTGCATTGAATTGTGACTGACGATGAAAAGTGGATTTATTTTTAGAATCCCAAACACACAAAATCATGGGTTGATCCAGGTCAACCATTAACATCAACTGCAAAGCCAGATCACTTCAGAAAGAAGACAATGCTCTGCATTTGGTGGGATCAGGAAGGTGTGGTGTAGTATGAGCTTCTAAAACCAGATGAAACCGTTAATACTGATCTCTATGGACAACAAATAACCAGTTTGAACCACACTTTGATCATAAAACGACCAGAATGGGCCAGAAGACACGGCAAAGTAATTTTGCTTCATGATGACACACCATCACACACTTCAAAACCAGTTAAAGACACCTTAAAAGATCTTGCTTGGGAAGTATTAACCCACCCGCCGTATTCACCAGACCTTGCTCCTTCAGATTACCACTTGTTCCAATCGATGGCACACGCACTTTCTGAGCAGCACTTCAAAACATTCGAAGAAGTGGAAAATTGGGTCTCTGAATGGTTTGCCTCAGAACAAGAAAAGTTCTATTGGGATGGTATCCAGAAATTACCTGAAAGATGGGGGAAATGTGTAGCTAACAATGGACATTACTTTGAATAAAGCACTTTTGATGTTTCTCTTGAAATTATGGTGTTTTCTTTGGTTACAAAACCCACATTATTAACCAGTACGCCTGGTAAAAATAGGGTCCAGTGAAAAGTTCACAAGCGCTGGAACTGGGGAGGTGGTGGGAGTTGGGGGTGGACGGAACAGAATCGTGGGCTGCAATTAAAACTCCCATCTGGGTAATTCCCGGGCCTCTGCCGGTCTGTTTCCATGGCAAGGGAGGTTGACCCAGAGAAGACGGGCTCCTGGCAGGGCTGGGCTCCCTCCTCTGTTGCTGCCCACAGAAGCCTCAGCCCCTGATCGGACAGTTCAGACAGAGTGCATGGACCAGCGGAGAGCCTAGCAAGCGACAGGTAGAGGCCCAGGCTCTGTGGGACAGGTGCCCACGCTGGCAGCAACAGAGAAGGAGGGATAGTGCCTGGGCCCAACGAGCATCTAATGGTACATCCTGGGACTATGGGAGGCCCAAGCTCAGACTCTAAGGACATGGGCTTCCAGGTGCAGCCGACAACCCCAGTCTGGTGTCTTACCTGAGGTGGGGGGAAATCAAACTCTCCGGAAGTCTGGATCCTTGTCTCATAAACCCCTAAGGTCCCCTCAACCCCTCATTTGCCTCCAGGCCAGCCCCGCTCTGTTCCACCTCCTGCCCTCACCTGCCCTCATCCCACATCCCTCATAACCTCTTGCTCATGGGAGCTCACCTCATGCTGGCCCCCAAAGCAACTCCTTCCCCCGACCCTGACTAGAGCTGAAAGGGTAGGAAGCCCTTCTGGCACATTCCCTGCTGGAAGATAGTGACAAGCAGAGCAACAGTGGGCAGGTGCTGGAAAGCATAAGGTCAGGAAAGAGGTGGCTGTTCCTAGGCCTCACCTCTGAGGACTCCTGGAGCTCAGGAGGCCTACAGATTCACTTCTCAGGCCAGTACACAGAGGTCCTAGACTGGGGGGTCCGGCCCAGGGGCAACCATGAGGCCTCCTGGGTCAGTTCCTGAGGTGTGAGCCACCTGGCCTAAAAGGCCTGCTTCTAGGTGGATCCCTATGGGCTGGTCCTTCCCCAAACCCCACATTCATTCACCCCAGGAGGGGAGAAGGGATAAGCAAGCATTCAATGTCCACTTCCCTTTTCTCACCTGGTCCTCATTCCTCCTCTTGCCCCAGCCCTTCAGCTCGGAGGTGCCAGCTTAGAGTGCACCATCTGCAGGACCCAGCCCTTGGTACTTAGGAGCCAGGAGGCCACATGGAGATAGGCAAGTATGCCCTCAGCTCCCCCTGCCCAGCCCCAGGCCAAACTGGGGCTCTTTCCTGCCTTCCTCTGGGGAAGGAGGGAAAGTGTGTGTCCTGCCAGGTATGGTCAGCCCGTGGTCAAGGGCCCATGGGCACCTCTCACTGGACAGCCCGGCCCCGGTCAATGCCACACTGGCTGGATCTGGGAACTCAGCCCAGGAACAATGGGGCCATTCATGTGTTTTGCACAATGATCCTCTTGGTCTATATCAATGGCTAGACGGTGAGAGTGAGTGAGAGTGTGTGTGTGTGTGTGTGTGTGTGTGTGTGTGTGTGTGAGAGAGAGAGAGAGAGAGAGAGAGAGAGAGAGAGAGAGAGAGAGGGAGAGAAAAGAAAAGAAAAGAAAAGGAAAGAGAGGAAGAAAGAAAGAGAGAAAGAAAGAAAGAACCTGGAGTAATTGGAGAGCCAGGCAAAGGCAGGAGAAAGAGTACCAAGCAGGGATTTATAATAATTCTGATATCTATCCTTCGTCAGACAATTACTATGTGCCAGGCACTGTACTAGGTGATAGCATTATCTTACAACAAGCAAGTGAGTCAGTTCCAACATTATGCCCATTTTATTTATTTTTTAAACCAATTATTGGCTTTCATTGCATCTTTAAAATACCACAAATATTGGCTTTCATTGCATCTTTAAAATATCACAAATATTGGCTTTCGTTGCATCTTTAAAATATCACAAATATTGGCTTTCGTTGCATCTTTAAAATGCCACAAAGAAATCTTGCTGTTGCTGTAACTGGACAACGCAGATCTTATTCACCCGCCTGCTGGGCCGTTCCTTTTTCAGAAACGTAGATCCCATCCAAAAATGTTCTGATATCTTTGTTTTAATTGTTGTGGCTTGCTGAATCAAACCAGCTGAATTTAATACAAGTTCAATACCATTCCCTTTAAGAATTAACTCATCTTTCTGGGCTTGAGATACTGATCAAGCAACGCCTGACCTCATCCGAACCCTGTGGCTATATTTTCACCCAAGAAATTTCTGATTTCAACAAGAGAACCATTCTCCTATAATGGCATTGACGGGGAAGTGAGTGTACACAGACCTCATCTTGTAAGGGAAGCCCAGTGTAACACCTTGACTGTGTTCCGTACATGACTGCAGATAGTGCGAACGGTGGCCAGTTCCTTTCTACCTCTCCACCATTTGTCAACCCAAAGCCTCTTCTTTTTCTTCCCAAGGAGACGGAGTTCTACATTGATGTGATTGCAGTCCCTCTGCAGGGGGCCTCTGGGGCCCTTCGCAATAACTCTACGTCCCTTCAGAGCGATGTCCACATTTTCTGGAACATCAACAGTCTGATCGCTGAGAATGGTCCTCATCCTTGCAACTGATGCAGCAAAGAGATTATCCCCATTTAAAAAAACTGAGGTGGGGTTACAGAAGTCAGAATGATGGCAACTTCTTGATGAGGAGACTGACTGCGGAGGGTGCAAGGGAACTTTCCAGGGTAATGGAGAGTTCTCTATTTGGGTGGTGTTCACGTGGGCATATACCTATGCAAACATTCATTGTGCTATCCACTGAAGACACGTGCATTTTGCTGCATATAAATTATTTCACTAAAAAAAAAATGATGGTACATCCATAGAATGGAATATTACCCAGCCATAATTAAAGACTAAGAACACTCTTTGTATATTAATATAGGTCACCAACATACACTATTAAAGGAAAAGTGACGTGCAAAACAGTATGTGCCAGATAGTGTGCAAACATTTTAAAATACTGTCTATACATACCTGCTTGTGTGTGTTTACATTATGTCCACACACACACACACACACACACACACACCTCTGCGAAGAGGAGCCACGCTGCTGGAGGCAGAGGCAGGGGAAGACTTTCCATGCTAGGTCCCCTTTCCTTAACCCATGGGAGCTGTTCCTTATTCAAAAAGTGAAATTAAAACGAGTGTCAAATGGCCTCTCTCCACTGTCTCCCTCCCTCAACTCCAGCCAGAACGCACTGGCTGTGCCTGCCCAGCTGGGAAAAGCTCATGGCTGGGCCATTCAGAGAAGCAGCTCGAGCCTCAGAGAAGCTGGGACCCAACCCCAAGAAGACACTAGGTGCTGCAGGGGTGCCAGCCACCTCACCCAGGCCCTCCAGCTGAGGGTGACTGTCCAGGTCGCCGTCTAGCCCTCTGGGCCTCACTCTCTACTGTCACTGCCTCGTATGGTCCCTTCCATTGTATCTCCAAGCAAACCCAGGAGCGCCCCGACCCAAGAAGGCCAACAAGCGTGGCCAGAACACCCACCCGGTGTGGCTGGAGGAGGGCAGCAAGAGGCAGCCGTCCCCGGAGACACGCAAAGCTCACTATTGCTGAGCCTGGGCTTCTCAGAAACTGCCAGCTTGCTCCAGGGTCCTGAGTTCAAATCCCAGCTCTGCCACTTCCTGGCCACAGGTCCTCGGGCAAATAACTTCACCTCTTTGAGCTTCAGTTTTCTCATCTGCACGATGACACATCCCTGTCAGAGTTACTGTGAGGGAAAATGAAATGCGGAGGAGCCTGGAGCAGCCCAGGCCTGTCTTCAAAAGCACTGCTCGCCACCGCTGAACAGCAACATCTAAGGAGACTGCGAAAGTTTATAACGTGTTCACAGAAGGGGGAGACCAAGGGGGAGGATCTGCCCGCACGGGGGGCTCCAGGTCCCTCCTGGGTTTTTCCCTGTACAAGGGTTGCCAAGAAAGGAAAGAGTGTTGACAGTTGGGGAGGCCCCAGGAGGTCTCAGGTCCAAGAGGCAGGCAGGCTCGTGGGTCATCGAGGCCA